GTTTCGCTCTTTTTACCCAGGCTGGAGTGCAATGGCGCGATCTCGGCTCACCGCAACCTCTGTCTCCTGGGTTCAGGCAATTCTCCTGCCTCAGCCTCCTGAGTAGCTGGGATTACAGGCACGCGCCACCATGCCCAGCTAATTTTTTGTATTTGTAGTAGAGACGGGGTTTCACCATGTTGACCAGGATGGTCTCGATCTCTTGACCTCATGATCCACCCGCCTCAGCCTCCCAAAGTGCTGGGATTACAGGCTTGAGCCACCGCGCCCGGCCCTTTTTTTTTTTAAGATGGGGCTTCACCATGATGGTCAGGCTGGTATTGAACTCTTGACCTCAGGTGATCCACCCAACTCGGCCTCCCAAAGTGCTAGGATTACAGGCGTGAGCCACCTCGCCCAGCCTAAACCTATATATACTCTTAGGGTTAAAATCAATCAATACAAATTACCTAATTTAGTTATCACAGCACTCCTATGAGACAGGTACTATTTTACAGACAAGGGATAGCTACTTAAGGCCACTAGGTCTAGCTGACATGGTCAGTAGGTGGTGGAAATAATGTAACACCTAAACAAACTCATTCAGAGCCGCCACTTTCTTTTCTTTTTTTTGGAGACAGGCTCTGTTGCCTGTCTATCTCTCTGTTGCCCAGGCTGGAGTGCAATGACAGGATCATAGCTCACTGCAACCTTCAACTCCCAGACTCAAATGAGCCTCCCAGCCTCTCGAGTAGCTGGGACCACAGGCCTGCACCACCATGCCCAGCTAACTTTTTCATTTTTACTTTTGTAGAGATGAGGATCTCATCATGTTGCCCAGACTGGTCTCAAACTCCTGGGTTCAAACAATCCTCCAGCCTTGGCTTCCTAAATGCTGAGATTACAGGTGTGAGCCACAGTGTTGTCCCTAAGCCACCTTATTATCCATTATGTTATACTGACTGCTGCCTATATGCCCTCACTTCATTTTTTTTTTTCTTTCTTTCACTTTCGAGAAAGCCCTCACTTCATTTTGAGCAACTTGAGGCCAGATTCTGTCTAATTTGTCTTAATAGTCTCATCCTATCCACCTCCCTAAGCAATGCATATAATTTGGTAGTAAATAATTCCTTGCTGAATTGAACAGAAGGTATATGTAATGACTTCTGGGTTTCCCTGCAAATCTGAAATTTCTTGATTATAAGATCTGGTGAATTTTGACTGAATGTTGACTTGGGTCTTCATCCAAACTTTCTTCATTAGGTCTTCACTCCAATTGTATTCCTCAATTATAATTTATCTGTCCTACCCCAAAAATGCTTCAGTGCTTCTGAAGGTCCCCTTTCAGCAGTTACCCAAACTCAATCTTTCTCTTTTTTTGGCTAGGGGCGGACTGAGCTTTGCTCTCATCACCCAGTCTGGAGTATAGCGGTGTGATCTGGACTCACGCAACCTCTGCCTCCCAGGTTCAACAATTCTCCTGCCCCAGCCTCCAGAGTAGCTGAGCTTATGGGCATCCGCCACCATGCCTGGCTAATTTTTGTGATTTTAGTATAGATGGGGTTTCACCATATTGGCCAGGATGGTCTCAAACTCGTGACATCAGGTGATTCACCTGTTTTGGCCTCCCAAAGTGCTGGAATTACTTTCTACATTTGTTCCAGTTCCAATTTTTATTAAAAGCATTACTCACACCTGGCCAATATGATGAAACCCAGTCTCTACTTTTAAAAAATACAAAAATTAGCTGGGCATGGTGGCGTGCATCTGTAATCCCAGCTACTCAGAAGGTTGTGGCAGGAGAATCGCTTGATCCCGGGAGGCAGAGCTTGCAGTGAGCCAAGATCGCACCACTGCACTCTAGGCTGGGTGACAGAGCAAGACTGCCTCAATAAATAAATAAATAAAATAAAAATAAAAATGAAAAAAAAAAAGCATTACTCACAGTAGAATTCAAGGTGGGAATCTCTGAGCCATCCCCCTCTCTACCCTCATGCTCAACCAGTCCTCTTCTCACAAAGCCTTTTTTTTTTTTTTTTTTTGAGATGGAGTTTCACTTCATTTCCAAGCTGGGGGGCCGGGGCGCAAACTTGGCTCACTGCAACCTCAGCTTCCCAGGTTCAAGCAATTCTCCTGCCTCAGCCTCCCGAATAGCTGGGACTACTAGGCGCATGACACCACACCTGGTTAATTTTTTGTATTTTTAGTAGAGACAGGGTTTCACCATGTTAGCTAGGATGGTCTCAATCTTCTGACCTTGTGATTTGCCTGCTTCAGCCTCTCAAAGTGCTGGGATTACAGGCATGAGCCACCGTGCCCGGCCATCACAAAACTTTTTTGATACCACTCTGAAATGTCTGTGGTGTCTGGATCCCTCCACATCCACTCCCATTACGCAAATCAAGTTTTTATCCTTGCCCAGAAAACAGAATTCCTTCAACACTACTATTCCTGTCTCTCATTTCTTCTTCTACAACTGATCTCCCACATTGACTAAAAGCAAAGGAAACGTGGGAATTGGACTCCAATATAAAGCAGATTTATTGAAGTTGGTAGCAATTGCTCTGTGAACCCTACAATGAAAAAGAATGTTCTAGGTCGATGGGTCTCAAATAGGTGGTCTTCAGACATTTAGAATCACCTAGAGAACTTGTGAATACAAATGACTGGGCCTTATCCTCAGTTTCTGATTCAGTAGGTCTAGACAGGGCCTAAGAATCAATCCATCAATCCATCAGTCCCTCCCTCCCTCCCTTCCATCCTTTCATCTTCCCTTTCTTTTGAGATAGGGTCTCACGCTATTGCCCAGGCTGGAGTGCAGTGGCATAACTACAGCTCACTGCAGCCTTGACCTCCTGGCCCCAAGCAATCATCCTGCCTCAACCTCCCGAGCAGCTAGGGCTACAGGTGAGCACCACCACACCTGGCTAATTTTTGTATAATCTTTTTCAAGTTGGGGGTGTCACCATGTTGTGCAGACTGGTCTCAAGCTCCTGGGCTCAAGGGATCCTCCCACCTTGGCCCCCCAAAGTGCTGAGATGAAAGATGTTTGCATATCTGAGTTCCAAGGAGTGTTGATGCTGCAAACTTGAGGGCCACACTTTGAGAACCACTGATGTCCAAGAATAGTCTGGAAGGCCAGGCGTTGTGGCTCATGCCTATAATCCCAGCATTTTGGGAGGCCAAGGTGGGTGGGTCACCTAAGGTCAGGAGTTCAAAACCAGCCTGGCCAACATGGTGAAACCCCATCTCTACTAAAAATACAAAAATTAGCCAGGCGCGGCGGTGGGCACCTGTAATCCCAGCTACTTGGGAGGCTGAGGCAGGAGAATTGCTGGAACCCAGGAGGTGGAGGTTGCAGTGAGCCGAGATCATGCCATTGTACTCCAGCCTGGGTGACACAGTGAAACTTTGTCTCAAAAATAAATAAATAAGTAAAAAGGGAAAAAAAAAGAATAGGAAAAAAAGCATATTAGGCTTTGAGGTATTATTTTCTTTTTTTCTTTTTTTTTTTTTTTTTTTGGAATGGGGTTTTCCTCTTTTTTCCCAGGCTGGGGTGCAATGGTGCGATCTCGGCTCACCGCAACCTCCGCCTCCTGGGTTCAGGCAATTCTCCTGCCTCAGCCTCCTGAGCAGCTGGGATTACAGGCACGCGCCACCATGCCCAGCTAATTTTTTGTATTTTTAGTAGAGACGGGGTTTCACCATGTTGACCAGGATGGTCTCGATCTCTTGACCTCGTGATCCACCCGCCTCGGCCTCCCAAAGTGTTGGGATTACAGGCTTGAGCCACCGTGCCCGGCCTGAGGTATTATTTTCTAGTAAATGCTAAGAATACTTACTAATACAAAGCATTTCTTGACCCTTTTAGCTTTTGGAGTATAGTTTTATAGTATTTTAATCCCTTTTCTGTTTCCCTGTAACATTCTCCAAGCTCCCCAAAACCTCAGAAGAACTCCATTTATTCAACAAATGTATATTGAGAGCTTATTTATACCACCATGAGCTACTTGATATAATAACTACAAACAAAATGATATTTTGTGTATTGTTGAGGGGCACCTTCAGAGTGTATAACTTTGGAGTTGAGTCTGGAAAGACCACCAGGGCAAAGGCAATGAGGTGTAAAAGTCAAAGGAGTGTTCAAATTGCTGGGGGCAGTTCCTGTGGGTAGCACAGGATGTCTGGGGAAAGAGCCTCTCAGTGAAGTGATCTTTTGAGCCGTTTTAAAAAAAACGGCTGTTTTTTGTAAAAGGTGAAGAAATCTCTGGCTCACCGCCTGTAATCCCAATACCTGGGTGGACGAAGTGGGCAGATCACCCGAGGTCAGGAGTTTGAGACCAACCTGGTTAACATGGTGAAAACCTGTCTCCACTAAAAATACAAAAATTAGGCCAGGTCCAGTGGCTCATGCCTGTAATCCCAGCACTTTGGGAGGCCAAGGTGGATGGATTGCTTGAGCTTGGGAGTTTGAGACCCACCCAGACAACATGGTGAAACCCCATCTCTTGGCCAGGCACGGTGGCTCACACCTGTAATCCCCG